ACAGATGAAAAAAGGGACAGGCCACACGCTGGGCAGATCTTTCCGGTTTTCCCCTCATCTCTCTCCCTATCCACCTCCAAGCCTATCAATCATCAACAGTACATAAGGGAGACATGAGAAAGGAAGGGACGGGTCACGGAATTCTGACACTTTATTGTTGGTGGTTTCAGCTTCTCCCGAACCATGGCCAAATGTTCAAACCTGGAAGCATTGGCAGGTGTAAAACATGCAGGGAACAAAAAGATGCAAAGCCCTACGAATCGCAGCCCGTGAATTCGTAAGGTTTCTCATGCTCGACAAACGCGAAGCGCTGCACCATGGATTCCGGGGCACATGCACCCGCAACGCGAATGAAATCCAAGGAGTCTGATCAATTCGAGGGGGAAGCAACCCATCCCCAGATCGTCATTGGGAAACACATGTTTGCCACTACCCAGCAAAGAAACTTGAAATCTGATTCAAAACCAGCACGAGAGGTGCTGTGGCGTCACGGCTAATGATATGGATGCAACGCTAAAAAGGAGTGAAAAGGCAGTTGATGGCCTGTTGAACAAAGGCAAAACTGCCATGGAGGAGTTCTGCAACATGCGCTGCGGTCCTGTGCAAGACGCAGTGGAAAATGCAGCAAGCAAGATTAGCAAGCAGACTGCAACCAACGCATCTAGCCAGAGCACAGCGGTCATACTGCACATGCAAGTCGAACTCTTCAGCCTGGAAAACGATCAGGGTTGTCATTTGTATGATGCTGCAGTGGTTGCTGCCCAACCCATGCTGTAGCGTTACAAACAATACAACAAGAAATAATTACGGTTTGCCCATTGGAATACACGTTTTGATCACATTTACATGCTATTGCTCCTTTCGGAGACCAAACTTGTTGCATTGCTGGACATTGCTTTGTGGACATCAAAACTCATACTTACACACATAAACTATGATATTTTGCTAGCACGTGTCACAACAATGAACAATGCGAAACCGTTTTGCTCAGCTCCAAAAATATGTTGCCCAACAAATAAACAAAGCGCACAGATATACAAACCAAACACAAATTGGCACCCTTTCCAAGGATATCCAGCACAAAGTGTATCCTTAGTTCGGGTTGGAACAAACAAGGATTATGCCGAACTACGGGCCTAAATTCGTGCCGAACGAGTACGGATTCCAACAATCAAGTACGCCCGAAGAAGCTTGGAAACAACTCTCTCTGTAGGGAATGTGCGCAATTGGGACAAAATTGCCCATCATTCTTGTGTAATTCTGTAAGGGGCATTAACATGACGCTTGTAAACGTCCAACTTCGTCACAAGCACAAGAACATAATGTTTGACACGCTCATCACCCGGAACCTGCGCACTCAACGGCTTCCGCAGGAAAGCGTCACTGTTTTTCCGTGTCTCGGCGGCTGCAGGCGAGAAGGTCGGGCCAAAAACATTGGCAATTTGTTTACAACCGAGATTTCAATCAAATTGGAGCCCCGTCGCATCAGTGCATGCAACCAACCAACAAACCAGGGATAATCATTCGAGACACACGCTGTGGCCCGTTTTGCGCATTTTGTAACACACGCTCGCTGTTGCGGTATTCAGCGCCCGCGATGGCAGATTGCCGCAAGCGCTTTGCAACTGAGGAGGCCCGTTCAATGGCCGCCCAATTCTTGTTGCTGTCGAGAGCCGTTTTGCCGCCTGCCCAACGCGCTTCAGTTGCAAAACCTGGTCGCACTTTTTACAGCCTCGAGTCATAGAAAGTCCACCGCGTGTGTCAGCTCAGTTGGGATGTTTTCAACTCAAGTTCAATGGCTCAACACCGAAATAGTACTTTTCCTACAGGGACAATAGAAATCCCGGATTTTGACTCCACTCCGCTCAGCCATTTTTTATGCGCAAAGAAACCTAGAAAAACACGGTTTCAAATGAATGGATTTGGAGTGGACATTACAAACGCTCAATACAGCGAGCTTCTCTTATCCTGCTTGCGTGTTTTTGTTTCCTTTTCCTTTTTTCCCCCACCACTAAACTCTCCGGATGGCAGTGCCAGCATGGGTGGCTTCGCAGGTGCGTAATCTTTTGGCAGGGAAAGAGGCTCCATGTCTGACTTGGAGACTCTGTGTGCCAAGATGCTGGATAACTTTTGACCTGAGGTCCAACTTGGCCTCAACGCTTGTGTTTTTTGCACCTAGCGGCATTTGTCGAGATCGACGGTCCAGAATGTACAATTCTGACAAAGAGAAACAAAAGCACCACTGCGGCAAGGCAAGGTTGCTGAAGACACACAAAGGGGGCCCCAAAAAAGAGACACCAACCAGCCCAACAGGGGGCACCGGAAAAAAAAATGTCCGGAACAGGTGGTCACCGACGTGATCCAAAGGCAGCATCGAAGAGCTGCAGCAAAGGGGGTGGCAACTCTGCACTGCCAACAGGTGGAGCAGGCAACGCATGCAAGAGGGTGACATGCCCACCAGAAAGCCAAGTGCCCATAGCTTCAAGTGAATTCACGTATCCCCGCTCAGTCATCAAGATTGTGTTTTGATTGCACCTCGCCGCCTGTGTCGCTTCCGACTGTCCGCAATACACATGCGTGAAATCAAAACTTGTGCAGCTCAACATGCAAATGTGTGTGCACTGCCCAGCCATGTGAGTCCTACACGCAAGATTCTCATTAGCAGATCGCGCCACAACCCCGAACTGAGCAACACGCGAAAAAACCGGGGCGCCCAAAAGCAACGTCCGCTGCCGACGCGTGCACGGTTTATGCAGGAGCCAACCCAGAAAGCAATGCGTCAGACAAAGATTGAGAAGCCGAAATGGAAAAAACGTAGACGTGAAATTCCGAAAGCAAATCATTTTCCGCAAGGGCAACGGCTGTGTCCGACACGGCAGCGTCAGCACATCGGATCGAGCCAAGACTCGCGTCCAACAAGCAAAAAAGCAGGTGGACGTTGACTTGGCCGCAAGGTGAAAGGAAAGCCCACGTTATAGAAGAACATGCACTGCTCCAACCTCTCGACACGAAAGGTACGCCCCACCTTTTCTATCCAAATTTCGTTGGAGTCGAAAGCTGATGCGAGCGGCGCACTGCGGTGCACGCTATGAGAAGGTTTTATTAACCCCCTAACAAACAAATGTCGCGCTGGAGTTAAATCCTCGGTCGATTCTTCGCACAGCGGTGCCGAGGAGTGTGGTTGGTTTAGGGTTGACCGCCTTTTCGTTACGCCCGAGCTTGAATCAGGTGAATTATGTCATGGCCAAAATGCAGCGACCACCGCACCAAAGAAACAAGAATTGCGTTTTATGCGCAGAAATTGCGCGGAGAGTACAAGGCGTCTACAAAGAGCCAAGTTCCAGCCATGCCAGAAGGCCGTGCAATAGGCAGCAAGAAGGCTCTGCGCGTGCCCGGAAGTGGTAGTGGTAGAGTTTATCTTGAACTTGGAAAGCAAAAGGCCATCGTCAGGATGCCTTGCGCTGAAGCTGGCCCTTTGAACAAGCTCAAGTCCTTGCAGTGAGTGGCAAGGCGCAAATCTAAGGGCAAGCTAACCTGCTTAGGCAGGTAACAACGCGAGTTAACGGGCAGTACAAGGGAGCTGCCAGCCCCCCTTGAGGTTTCTTCAACCGCACACCGGGTAAGTGCTCAAAAAGGGGCTTGGCCACACGAGAAAGGTGCGCTTGTAAACGGATGGTGCAGTCCACGTGGGAGCTGTACTTGCGCAGCAAGGGCTTTGAAAGTTCCCTAAGCTGAGAAAGGCAAACAGTGCACTGCAAAGGCACGTTGGCAAGCACACGGCAGTAGGCTGCGACAACGGTGTCTAGAGCAAACTCGACGAAGTCGTCGAAGATTGCATTATGGCCGTGCGTGTGATTCATATGCGCGGCCATGCGCTGCCGTATCGCTTATCAGAAGCCATGGCCGCACAGTCAATGCGCCCGTGAAAAGGCTTGCTGCCAGTCTATCTTCCATGCACTCAGAAGAACACCAGCGCAGGTACGCATTGCCGCCGCAAGCTTGGCCCGCAGAGACATTTACAACCGTTTTTCGTGTTTTTTCCGATGCATTGCAACTCTCACACGTGCCCAGCATCGCTGAAGCCTTGCAAGACTCCGCCAGGGTTTTGTTCCTTCCGCCAGGTCCTACGTGGACTTCATCATCCTCTTGTTTTCGCGTTTTGCATCGCAGTGCTTTAGCACCGACAAACAACCACCATTGTTGTAAGGCCCTTCCCCTCTCTTTGCAAAGGTTTCTCCAAACGCATTTTAACGCAGCTACGGAGCTTCTCACACTCGTCAGACCAGGAAACGACCTCGTCAGAGCAGATTTCTGAAAGCTAAAATGTTCCAGGAGGACTCGCGGATGCACTAAAGATGAATGCAATTTGCAACCTCGTTGCGTTTCTGCAAGCTTTAAGGGTTCCAAAACAAAATGGTCAAAAAAAATGAACGCCGCCAAAAGTTGAACGGTGCAAAAACAAAAATGCAAAAAAAAATGAACGGTGCAAAAATAAAAAACATGAACGGCAAAAACATGAACGGTGCAAACAAATTGAACGGTGCAAAAAAAAATCTTCAAAAAAATGAACGGTGCAAAACAATAAACGGTGCAAGAAAAAAGGGAAAGGGTTCCTTTGGCAAAGCTCGGCTTGCAGAAACGCAACCTGGTGGCAAATTGACTGCGCATCTGGAGTGGTCGCTTTAATGCATCCCCAAGTCCCCCTGCACCATTTTAATTTTCAGAACCAACCCAACCCAACCCAACCCAACCCAGCCAAACCAAACCCAACCCAACCCAACCCAACCCAACCCAGCCCAACCAACCCCCGACATCCCCCTTTTCTCTGCTTGATGCCATTTCTTGCAGCTGTGAGCGTGGCAACTTTCATTTGGGCTGACGTCCTCTTCCCTCTCTGTTGTTTGGTTGGGGGTTTCCTGTTTGTGGGTTTGGTTTGGTTGGTGTGTTGTCCCCCCCTTTTCTTCTTTAAGTGGGAAAAGTGACGTGCCGTGTTTCACCTTCACTTTCTGTGCTTTACCGACTCCTTTTCACACTGTTCTAGGTGCAGACGCGTGATCGGCACGGACCGCTGCCTCGGGGCAAAAAAAGCTTGGAATCGAGTCCGGTCCAGGGTGCTCCGGGCTGGGCTGGTTGGGCGCTGGGTTGGTTGGGTTTGGGTTGGGTTTGGTTGTGGGTTGGGCTGGGTGGGCTGGGTTGGGTTGGGTTGGGTTAGATTGGTTTGGGCTGGGTTGGTTGGGATGGGTTGGGTTTTGGTTGGGTGGGGTTGGGTTGGGCTGGGTTGGGGGGGTTGGTTGGGCTGGGTTGGGTTGCAACCGCCCAACTGTTGCACCACTACTACTGCTACTACTGCTACTGCTGCTGCTGCTACTAACACTACTGCTGCAGCTAATACTAGTACTGCTACTACAACTACAACTGCGACTACTGCTACTGCTACTCCTACTACTATAACTACTACTACTTCTTCTTCTACTACTACGACTACTACTAGTACTAGTACTAGTACTAGTACTGGTACTAGTACTAGTACTAGTACTAGTTCCCAGGTGTCAAAGTCGTTGCGTTCAGTTTTGGCCGCGTGTTTTTTCGTGCGGTACGCGCGTGAAATGCACATAGTGTTTTGGGTCGCGTTGGGGTCCAGAGATAGGTGCTGCCGTGAT